TGTCTGATGATCAGTCTGTGCTTTCTAGCCTCCAGAACGGAGATTAAACCCACGGATCAGAGAGCAGCCAACGAGCTCTGAGTGATGCCAAGGTGATGGAAACACAAATTCCTGGTAGGTGGAACTGCCTTGTTAAGGTTTAGAGCTGGACACGTCTCAGTGATCTCAGCCCTGGGGGAGGGTATCACAGCTTGGGAGGAAGGATTTCCACTGGTAGTGGGCACAGGGAACGCAGAATTTATGGCCCGGCATCTGGCAGAACCCCCAAGATAAGAAAGGAACTAATAAAGACAATTTAGCACCTGGGCTGAAGCAGGTCCCACTGGATTCAGGGTGATTCCAGCAGGGGCAGGCTGTGACCACCGACCCAAGAAACACCCCGACCCAAAGGAAGAGAAACACTGAGCATGACCAACTAGCATGAGAAGCAAGAGAGTCATTAACCAACAGAATAGTAATTAACAAGAGAACTATGTAACCTATAGCCGATGAACATTAATGCCTTTGTTTGCTAAAATGTATAACACTGTATTAACAGTAACAAGTTCCAAAGTTCGTAGAGCTATATTTGCGGATTAGCTGCCCAGCAAACTGTAAATAAAGAGCTGTAAATAACTCCAACACCTCGGTTCCCTGTTTTGGGGGAGGGCCGGGGGTCCCACCTGGCAGCCCCACCTTGGGGCGCAGCAGCACCTCCAGCGCCGCCCGGTCCGGTAGCTCCTTGCTGAGCTTCGCCTCAGCGGGGCCGTAGAGCCCGGCCAGGACTGAGGTGTCACCTGCGGACAGGGAGGGTGGGATGGAAGGGAAGGAATGGGGAGAGATGGGATGGGGAGGGGAGCCCCCAAGGAGAGCCGCGGAGGGCTGGGAAGGGCACGTGGGGAAACCCAGGAAGAGGAGCCCCGGGGAGCGGAGTCCCTAGAGCCTGCAGGACGGGCAGCCCCGGGAAAGGGGGGAAGACCCTGCGGGAAGAGCTGGGAAGGGGAAAAGGGGACCCCGGTAATGTGTCAGATCCCCCAGGAAGGAGAGCCCTGTGAGGGGCAGCCCCAGTAGTTCGGCCCCACAGACCCTGCAGGAAGGCGGCCGAGCCGTCGGGCCGCGAGAGCAGCCCCTGCTCGCAGGAGAAGGGCCGCAGGCGGCACTGCCCACCCGGCTCCGCCACCGTCTCCATCATCTCCTCTTCCTCCGCACCTTCCGCTTCCGGGCCGCGGGCCAGCAGCCAATCAGCGCCTGCTGTCGCGACTGGGCCCCGCCCCCGCGGCACCGCGAGGGCGTTCGGGTCGCGCCTGGGCCGGGCGGGAAGGGCGGGACCGGACCCCTGTCTCCCCTCACACCGGAGCCAGCCCGGACCCGGGAGACGCGAGGGGAGGAACACCCAGCCCGGCCAGAGAGAGCCGCGAGCAGCACGAGCAGCACCCGAACCGCACCCTGGCGGGGCAAACCACGGCGGCTGCTCTGCTGCTCTCCGTCATCTGCGGAAAATCATCCTGGGAGCCTCGGCCGTGGTCCCACAGACAAGCCGAGGGTCCTGCTGGCTGCCCCGGCCGCGCTGGGACCCTGGGCTTGGGGAGGGGGACTGGGGAGACCCCCCGAGGCTGCGGGGCAGGAAGGGGCTGGACACGGGAACATCGCTGAGCCCACAGAACGCGGGAATCTGCCAGTGGCATCACCTGTTACCCTCCGCTTTTATGTGAACATGTGGCACCCCCCGGGCAATAACAAGGTGATTCCTGGGGATATGGAGCCCACTGGCAGCAGCAGGATCTACCCCCCCATCCTCGGTGGCCTGGATGGGCTAAAGGACAGTGCCAAACCTCCCTCTCCCTCCTGCAGCTGCTCCTCTTCAACCCCGTGATCCATCTGGGGATCCAGCCCCCAAGCCCTTCCCAACCCAAACTTTCTCCCACTGTCAGCCTGTGCCTGCCTTTTTCCCTGTCCCAATCCACATCCCACATGGGCAGCTGCCCAGGCCATCCTTAAACCCCACACCCAGGCAGAGGCTGCTTCATCCTGAGGGGAGCTGAGGACATCAGCCTTGGGCCTTTGGGTTTCTCTGCCCTCCTGGGGGCTCCTGCACCATTCCCAGGTCCCTGCTTGGAAAGAACCGATGACTTCCCATAGTGGAAATGAAGATATGTCAGCAATGGATTGACTGAAGGGATCTGAAAGGGGATGGGAAGCTCACCTGGCAAAATGAGACACAAGAATCTTTCTGCCCACGAGAGCTTTGGCATCACCATGGCTCCACTCAGGATTTCCCTGGGAGGTGGTGTGTCGGGGCACTGGGGGTGTGGGAGCCTCAAAAACGGGAAAAGGGCCTCAGGAGAAGGGGGAGGAAGCAGCACTCAGAGACTGTGTCAAGGAAATTTATTTCCTTCTCTTTTTCCTCCTCCTGGGCCGCAAGGAACTGTGGCGGTCGCGGGCCCTCCTCTTTCGGGGGTGCCGGTGCTGCCGGCGCTCATGGCCCCTGTCCTGGTCGGGAGTGGAGGGACCTGGAGCCTCTGTGGGCTCCTGGGCCACGTCCTGGGGCTGCTCCTGCTCAGCAGGGACAGGCACACATGGGGGGTGGCTGGGACTCCCAGGGGGGGCCTCTGATGTACCGAGCTGGTCCTCTGGGCCCGACCCCACGGGGTCACAAGTGTCGGCCTGGCTGGGCCTGGGGGTACCCCCTGGGCTGTGGGTGGGGGTGCCCCCTGGTGAGGAGGAGCGGCTGGAGCTGGACACAGAGCTCCCGCCCCGGTCCCTGGCAGGTTGGGAGCGGTGCAGCTGCCAGGCCTCGCCACATTGGCTCAGGGTGACATGAACCAGCCCGTGCACCAGCGGGGCCGTGTATTCCCCCAGGTAGTTCTGCAGTATCTGGGCCAGCGGGTCCCTGTCGGGGCCGTATATGCAGAGGGCGGAGAGAGCGATGCTCTCCACCTCGCGGGCCTCCCACCAGCGCGGGCCGTGGATCGCCTCCAGGCTGTGCCGCAGCCACGGCCGCACCGGGTCCAGCAGATGCTCCTGCCCGTGCAGCAGCTCCGCCCAGAGCTCGGCCGGGAGCGCCCGCGGGGGGCTGGCCGGGGGGCTCCGGGGGCAGCGGGACCAGGGGCAGGTCTCGACCAGGCGGAACTGAGCCCTCCGCGCCCCCGGCGAGCGCCCCGGCGGGCTGAGGATGCACTGCAGGAAATCGGCGTCGCCGAGCACGGAGAAGCGGGCGGCGATGACGGGGCTGCGGCAGCGGGGGCAGGCGGGGTCCGCGGCCGTGCCCCGCAGGAGGCAGCCCAAGCAGAACGCGTGTCCGCAGGGCACGGCCAGGCTGTCGCAGCTCACGCGGTGACACACCGGGCAGTCCCACTCGGTCTGCGTGGCCCGGCTCGCCCGCCGCGGCGGGTCGGGCAGTGCCCGGGACGGGGCGGGGCCCATCGCGGGCACCGGGGCCGGGCCGGGGCCGGGCCGGGCGGCTGCACTTAACGGCCCTGAAGGGCTCTTCCGACGCTGGCGATTCTGTGGCGCTTCCCAGGGGTGTCGGGCACTGCACGGTGGAACGGGACCATGGTCAGAGGCTGTCCCGGGGCGGGGAGGACGCAATGCCCAGGCCCCTCCAGGACACCCTCCCCACTCCCCGAGCCAAGCGCACACCCCATGCACAGACACCCGCGAGGAGTTTCCCCACAGCCTCACCTTCCCTGCTGCAAACAGCCGCAGTGCCCGGCTGCCCAAACCAGACAGGGCTGAGCAAACACAGGGAATGGCCCCAGAGGAGTCACCGAACTGCCAGGTAAGCCCCCGAGGCACCACCAGGCCCGGGAGAAGCCTCGCTCAACCCTCCAGACTTCGCAGTCACACTCAGGAGTCCAGGCTCAAGCCACAGTGTCCCGGGCTCTGCAGGGCTCAAACACAGTCGGGGAGGGGGATGACATCACAACACCTCCCCCAGTGGGGTCACAACGGGCCACTTGGGATGTCACCTTCTGCCAGCAGGTGATGTCACAACGCGACATCCCCCTCCCACCCCGGGCACGTGGAATCAGGAGAAAATAAAGGAAATACTGTTTCCTTTGTTTAACTTCTACATTTCCGTGCTGCTCTCCATCACCCACATCCATGTCCGTGTTCCTGTCCCTGCTCTCCCGGGACGGAGAGCTCGGTGGGAGCTGCCAGCACCGAGGGCAGCACATCCTCTGCACCAAACCCCCCCAGCCGCACCCGGACACTGAGTGCAGGGTGGGCTCCAGCGTGAGCCGCAGGGGCTCCCCAAAGGGTGCCATGGCTGTTCAAATGCTCTGACCACACCAAGAGGGCCCACGTATCTGTCCTTTGTGGGATGCTACAAAATCACCCCTATCCAAAGGACAGACCTTCTTTCCCTACCACGTAATTGGGACACTGCCGAGGAACCAAAATGGACCCTGGAGAGAGGTAAGAGGGTGGGCTGCAGCACTGACATGTTCCCAGCACTGCCCTCTGCCTCACCTGGAGCTGAGGGGATGGTAACTGGGCACTGCTTTGACGGGGCACTCACCAGCACAGTAAGAAATTGGGGCTTCAAAGAGAATAATGCTCTCTTTGTGTGTGGTGTTTTCATGTGAAACAGGTTTTATGTAATTACTGTGTAGTCACACAGCCCAGTCTCTGCCATTACAGGGTGTAATTTGCCAGGTGAGGACTGAATTTGGCCCTACCAAGGGCAAGGCCAATGGGAAACAGCTGATGTGAAAGTAACTGTTAATACCTGGCACTACAGTAAAGAAAACTGAAAAGACACAACGAAGCAGCTTGGGGCTGTGCCTGCAAAACAAAAGACAGTATTTCCTGCCTTACTGTCATTTGCACTGGAGGCACCCCAGAAACAGCCCATCCAAAGCACCCTGGAGAGGAAGAAAAGTGCTGATGGGCATCAACAACCAAAGACATTTTGACTTTGCAGCAATGAGCTGCAACAGAATTTTAGAACTAGGACGGAAATTTCTCTCTCTTTGAAATTAAACAACAGCTGTAGATGGAAAGACTACACCTGTCCCTTAGGAGATGACAAATCCAGACTCTTTAATAGCATTGACCCAAGGTCTGGGTGGATAAACATGTGTCTTCTCTTACTAAACTCTGGCTGTGAGCTATACAGAAATGCAAACGTGCACCACACAAAGGAATTTGGTTACACTTTTTCCCTCACTCCTGTGGTATCACTATCCCCAGCACTGTACCATGTGTCACTTACCAAACACAAAATCAAGTGCAACCTAAGGAGAAAAACTGCACTTTATACACTTTAAACTTCCTAGAGAGAACAACTTCAGCTTGATTGTTGCATTTTCCCCTCCATAAGTTATGAAAATATCTTTCAACAAGGAATCCAAAATAAGCTATGGTACAACATATAAACTTACTTATAAAGACATAAAAATCTGAGTCAGCGTACTAAACAGTATTAATACAATAGGATTTTTCTTTACATTATCCGTATGGGACATCAAACTTTTTCTGTGTACATTTCAGCCTCTTATTTCATGAAGGTACAAACTTCCAAACAGCAGGTTCATTTGAAGGTAAGAATTTGAACAAAACCTTCAAATGCTGACAACTTATGGCACGTGTACTCAGGAAACACAGTGTACAATTGCAAGGTAAATTAAAATGTGCGAAAACTAAAAATAACTTGACTGACACTGCTGATCTACAGTCTCTTTCAGATTGATTTCAGTCATTTATTACTCTCTTTTTATAGACGATTTTGTGGCTCAGGAGAGGCAGGAAATTGTGTGTGATTCAGTGTTCAGCTCAGGGCTGATCCTGCACAGTGAGGAGGAAGCTGAAGAGAGCTGTCGCGATGCTGAGACAGTTCAGACCTGGCTCCCAGCCCTGCTCTGTGGCTTAGGCAGCACTTTGGGACAGACCATGCTCTCTTCAGCCGAGGCCTTTGCAGCACCTCGGCCAGGCAAGGCAGTGGGTGGGGTCTGGAGCTCAGTCACTGTCGAATTCCTCTATTGTCAGCTCCTCCTCCTCCATGATGGCCTGGGCTGCCACGGGTTGGGGCTGGCTGCCAGGCAGGTCACTGCCACTGCACTGGCTGGAGGGCAGCAGGAGTCCTTCGGGATCACTGGGATCACTCTCTCCCATCCTGCTGTTCCCCGGCTCCGCATCGGCACCATCACCCTCCCCAGGGAACAGCTCTGGGGTCCCGGGGTCCTTATCACAGAGAGCTTCCAGCTTTAACCTGTGAAATCATCAGTGCAGCACTGCATGACCACACACAGACAGCTGCTGTCTCAGGGGAGCTCACACAGGAAAGACTGTCTGTCCTCAGATACAACCTTACTCCCACTGAAACTGCTGCACTGAGTTATTTTAAGGGCTGGTTAGTAACACAATTTAAATTATGTTCAATTAGGATTAATGAAGGAAGCAAACACCTGTATTTCTCCATACTCCCTTTCCAGCAGAGTGAGCAAATGGGAAAGGATAACAAGTGAAGTTATCCTTCAGATCAGACTTTCAGTGACACACACCCAACTTATTAATGCAGACACAAACAGTCATCAGTATCCAAAGATATGGTGCAATGACACTTAATGGCATAAGGAAGTTACAATTAATTTGAGAAGTTACATTGTCACTCAGAGGAGGGGGATTACAAAGAAATACATTGCTTAGGGACAGTCTCCTTCCTTAATTTTAATACAATTGTCAGGGAAGAGGGTGGTTCCTGGAAATACAGCTTGGAAACTCATTGTTAAACTCAGCAGCAGCACCAGTGACAAGCAGGAGATGCTTTGTCAGGTGCCTGAACAAACTCTGTCCTGGTAGGAGATGACAGAGTTTGTCTCACTCCAGCTGTGATCTGGATTCTTTACCAGAAACAGACCAATTAAAACTCTTAAATTTCAGAGATGTCAAAGCCATATAAACCTAACTGAGGCTCTACCACAGTAAATGATGTCTATGATTCAGAGGGCTCACGAGAGTCTCAACACAACATCTTGTGCCACATCACCTCACGAGCCCTACACAATCTGTAAGGAGGGCACATTAAATAAATAAACTCATTAAAATATTTTGTATTTCTACAGGGATACAACTGCTTCAAAGGAAGTTGGAACAATTCCCTGTTGTTCCTTCTTTCTTGCACCTCCAACACAAAGGTGAACACAGAATATTCTACCAAACTTCCAGATTATTGTTCTGTGTCATGACAAACAACAGGCAAGATGCACTGAACTCTTTGCATCAATTCACTTTTATTCTCACATAAATGTTTTTGATAGTAAAGGAAGTATTTTGTTCAGATCATGCACTGGAGAAACAGTGTCTAGGACAGGTCTAATACTTAATACAACAGAAAAGAAAGTTAAACAAGGATTAAAAGCAGGACTTCAGTAAATCACAGATGATTTACTGTGGAAAGGGTTCTCTACGAAAGGGTTCTTCCCCTTAATATAGTAAAGTAATGAAGTCTTACTTTCTCTAAGTATAGACAGAATTTAACCTTACCTCCCAAAACGCCTTTTCAGTGGCAGCCTCCCCACGTCTTGGATAAAAGCAATCTGAGCTAAGAAAAAAGAACCACCAGTGTCATAGTGGGCAGATCATAATTAACATACAATTTAACATACTGGAAAATAAACAATTCATGTGTTAGTCAAGTATTCCTGCATACAGTTGAAACATCTTAGATACCAAAACACTGCACATGCATATATGTAACTTTTTTCCCAAACTGCTACAGTTTACCACCATACTGACAGACTGCCTACACAAAAGACCCTAAAAACCCCCTGACATTCATCCATTTCTACTTATGACATAGAGTTATTATTCCACAGCCTACGAAATGAATTCATCCTGATGGCAAGGCCTTAGTTAAGACATGAAGCTTTTTTTTAGAAACAATTAACGCAGCACAAGTGACCTAGCTGACTAAACAGTAATTTTTGAATTATGTGAATTATTTAAATTTTTCTGCATGAATGGTCTGCTATTGGATTACCTTGGATTTTACATTTTTTTATCCACTATAAACTCGAATTTTGTTTATCTGGGAAAGGCTTTTTAAAGCCTTTTAAGTCTGTTGATGTTACTGGAAAGATATCAGTAAGCAACGAAAATCCGGTTAATTTTGCACACTGGTTTCCAAAAGCCATCTTCTTCTCAATTCCTCCAGCAGATTTAAAATAAGCCCTAAATCTAGAGAGCAACTTAATTAGTAAGGTTTGATAATCCTACCAGAACAGCTTTAATTTTGGCTGTTACTAGAAGCACCTTTGGGTATCACCTCTATACATTTACCATAAATTTTTTTTTTTCTGAGGCAAAAGCATAGACAGTATTGACATTTTGGCTTACAAAATTTTTCAGTATGTTTCAACTGCCAAAAAGAGTCTAAGATCAATTTACACCCATCTTACCCTGGTTTCTCATTGGGTTTGCTAACATAGCAAGATAAGGCAGCAACTCTGTCTGAAGGCACTCGGGTGGTAAACAGAAGCTTGAGAACAGAGATTTGGCAGCAAGGCAATTTTCCTGATACTGTAAAAGTTGGGGAGGGGAGAGAAGAAACACAAGTAAAACCACCTGGTAGAACATGATTACCGTAGATATTCTGTACCAAAATACACAGACTTTCCTCCTGCCTGCTAGATGACTACACACAAGCTACTGAAAAATGAGACTAGAAGAAAAGATAAGCAGTTAGAGTTAACATAGACCAATCATAAAAATGGTAAAATCCTTTGGATTTGCCTATTGCTGAGTATTAACACTTCCAGAAAATAGCTATCCTTTGATTACAGGATTCCTTGTCCATCCAGGCCAATACTTTCTGACACATAAAGCAAGAGAAGCATGAGTTCAAATATAAAAAATTGCCCAGACCTTTGGTATATCCTGAACAAGCTACTTCTGATAAACACATAAACTGTAAATTGTGAAACCTACATAGCAGTTCAATGTGCAAAAAGCTCACACTCAGTCCTAGGAATACTTTTTAGTATTTGAATGCTGATTGTGTCTCCACTAATGTAGGAAGGACTGAGACTCTCCCAGCAGCACGTCAACTTGGACACAGCAATCAGGCTTTGTCAGAGGCCTCCAATTTATTTTTACATTAAAGGAGTGATACAAATTGCTCTTCAAGCAAGTGCTTTTTAGAAGCAGATGATATCAAAATAGGATATTTGACAAGTTTAGCACTGTGAGCAAATCTCATCTATACCATACTACTCAATAGTCATACCTTAGGTAAAACAAAAAGAAATAATAAAAATCAAGCATTTACCTTTTTATTGATAAAAAACCACTGGGGTTTATGCAAGGGTCGGAATCCCATCCCTCCCTGCTGGTGGGCAAAGGCCCTGGATGTGTTGGAATGGATCACCCCTCGGGTAGCCACAGAGGCACTGTAGTTTTCCATCACAAGACGTGTCTAAGAGAGAAATTGGGCACTGTGTGACCTCGAGGTGCCTCATTTGAACTGAAACACCCTCAGGAACTGCAGTGACACAACCTGCCCAGAATTTTACAGTTTAGATTACCGTGGAACTTTTATTCAAAGCAGCTGAACAAAAGAGCTGGTTCAATTCCTTCAGAGGAAAGGCTTATGGATGCCCACACATTTTTATCATGATTATGTTCTACTTAAAAATACTTTGTAGAACATTCTACAAACACTACAACCCACTATAATAAAATGCTGACAGAAGCTGGACAAAAAATGTGTTGTGTCTCTTCTGCAGCTGATGTATTTCAGCATTCATTAACAACTCACTGTCACCCACACTAAGCCTGCAGCAAACATTCATAAATGCAGTGAGATGTCACAAAGCTCAATGTCCAAGTGTTTAAAAACAAGTGTGTGCCTATAGAAAGATGACACTTACACTCCAGTTACTGCAAAGGACATCAGCAGCACTCAGATATTCACTGGCTCTCACCACGTCGTCTATATCAGAAAAAAAGTCCACATAGTTCTGGTGGAGGTATAAATTAAACATGGCTCCTGACATATGTGATTTTTCCACAATATCCTATTAGAAAGAAGAAAAGTTCAGGTTTTAGACGTAGGTAAGGAAAAGCACCCTAGTTAAAGGTATGATACATGTAGATGTTCAGGGAGCTGGAACACAAGGTCTCAGCAGTGGTGTTCGGACACAAAGGGAGTTGGTTTGCCCCAGGGAAGGGGGACAGTGCTCCCTTCCAGAACAATTATTGTGTAACTTAGACTGAACAGACACACATTTTGATTAAACCATGTGATTGAGAATTTGCTTTGGTGTGTTTCCAACCCAACTGAACTCATGGAGTAACTGCAGGAGTACCTCAGGCTGAATGAGCAACGTGTCCCGATGGAATTCTGACAGGTGGGCAGGAAGCTGAGGGAATTCTGCCTCTGACACTGGTTCTCCTACAAAGGATTTCACAGTCTTTAGTCTTTTAGCATGAGAAACATTGTTAGCAACTGTCAGCTCTACAGCACCTAAATTACAACATTTCCAGCTCCCAAAAGATCCTGAAACAGGCACAGATCCTTAACTATACAGTCAATGTTAGAGTCATCAACACACAGTTGGTTATATTAAGCTCCACGTATTAGTTTTCCCTCACCCCACTACTTCTCTTCAGTTGATTTTGGAGCTAATATTGTGAATTACTAGGAATTAGGGATCCCCTATTTAGCTGATTTCATACCATTGGTATTGACCAAACCTCCCCATCAGAGGCCACCCTAAGCCTTACTTCAGCAAATCAAGCTATCAGCAGCTGACACGCTTTACCCAGTCAAAGGGAGAATAAGTCAAAGTTTTCATACTTTTGCAATAAATTATTTTCCCCAGAGCATGGAAAAGAAAGATGGATGCATCTTTGCCACCAATGGCTTGTATCTCCTGGTCTTCTGTGGTATCACATTTACTTTTCTTTCTTTCTTTCGATACTGCAGCTTCCTCACATTTTATTGTGGAGCTCCTTTTCTTCCTCGACCAAAACTCCTTCTCCAAAGAGCAGTCTATCAATTAAAGCAAAAATAAAATCAAGAGAAAGTACATGAATCCACAGAAGTTTTCTATTACACTGATACTGCTAATGCTTTATATAAACCAATAATAGTAATAAAAAGAACAGAAAAGATTACATAAATACAAGCATAAGGGAAAACTCCTTTATTAGGAAGACAATCCAGTCACCTAAATTAGCATCATTCATTGGCTTCATTCCACTTCTGTCCCTTAAGCCACAGCTGAGGTACCAACTACTTTTTCTGAATAACAAACAACTGTCTTTTAAAAAAGCATTCAGGTTTATTCCATCTAGTTCTGATGTCCCCCACTTGCCTTTGTTTAGAATTTCACCTTTACAAAGCATAAGTACAAATATATGTAAATTATGTTTCAGTTACATCCTCTTCACTTATCAATTTGTCTTATGTTTGCATTGTCTGTACAACATCCTCACTGAAATACAAGGTGGCAAAGAAAACCTTTCATTTAGGTGATTCTTCCAACAGCCTACTAATGTTTTACAACCTACACAACGTTTTGAGCTTCTAGAAATAAACCCCTTATTCTACTGTAATTTAAGAAACTTGGAAATTTTTACCCACAATTTGATTTAGTGGCTAGTGAATGCTCCTTAGTGAGCTGAGAGAAATTATCTTTTAAGTATTTGTTTTTCTTTTCTCCCACAATTACCATGGATCCTTTTTACCTATACATCAATTTCTTAACAATTACTGACTCAGAAAATGCTTACAGAATAAGCAGGATAAGAAATGTAAGAAGGAGTCAATGAAAATATTGCTCTCAAATTAAGGTTGAGTCTTTATGACAGCAAACACAAATAGCAAAGATACCAAGAAGAAAAGAGGGTCTTTCACTAAATTAGGTTAGCACATGCATTGCTGCCACAGTTTAGCCCCAGCCAGCCACTGAGCCCCACTCACTCACTCGCTCCCTCACACACCCTGGGTCTATTCCTGCTCCAGAAAAGTGTGTCAGAAATGCTGTGCACAGCTCACCCAGCCAAGCTGCAACACCAAACAGAACACATTCTCAGCAAAAATGGCCAAAACATCGTTAATTTAACAAAACCAAACTCTTTTACCTTTCCTTGAGGAAAACTGAAGGCTGTTTATTGCACTTCTTATGTCACCTGAACAACCTCTGCAAAGCAACTCCAGAGAAGCTCTATCAAGGGCATGATTTTTCTCTCTGTTCTACAAGGAAAAGCAACATTAAAAACAACAAAAAAGGCGGGAAAAGGCATATTTGAATATGGCTGCAGACGGACACCACAGACACAGGAGCATCCACCGTGTGCTCAAACCATGGAACACTGCTCACTTTAAAACATTTAATCCATTGTTACACAGCCATGTTAAAGAGAAAAAGGCACAGAACTCTTTGCAAGGCGTCATTCAATAAGGTACTTAATTGTAATCAAAACAGTTCAGGAATAATACAGGGTTTAAGTTCAAGACCTCTTCTAGCCTTGCTGGATACAAAAAACCAATGGAACAAATTCTATTCCTGTTATTTGTTTCATTTATATAAATACTGTTATAAATTTTCAGAAGTAACTTTGTAGACTCAGCCCAAGGATCAAGTGAAACTAATCTGAAAAACAAGCTTGTTCCTTGTTTTCTCTTGGGGCGAATGGTGAGGGGTTTTTGGGGAGTGTGGGGCTCTATAAAAGATCAAACAAATACAGTAACAAAAATAACATGTTTCAGATATAAAAGCATGAAATCTTTTGGTCCTAACACTGCACAGAATCCAGCAGCTCTGACAACTTACCATCCCAGCTTCTGCTGCAGATATTCGATTGAGAACTTTCATCATATTTGTTGGTGCAACAGGCTTGAAACTGTTGAATGTCATTTAAAAAAAAAATCAATTAGTTTCTGACTTCTCTCTTATTTTAACCATGTTTTAATGAGAGAAAAGATCTTACCTAATAGCGGATATACAAAGCTCCTCTAGAATTTCTGTTGGGAACAGTAACCTCTGGTTGTTGTCTCCACTGAAGTTGTCAGAGATTATAAATATCAGGGGGCATCTACTTGTACGAACAAATCTCCTGAAGTGAAAAACAAGCAAGTGTTGTGAGGACAAAACCCCAGTTTGCTGTGAGTGGCCAAAGATAATAATTAAAAACTTATTTTGTGCCAACCTGAGAATGCCATGCAGACTGCTGGGGTCCCGGTAGAACAGGTTGGGAATGTCCTGCCCAAAAGAAAAAGCTGGTGACACTACATTCAGATGTGAATATTCCCTCCCACAGACATCAAGATTGTCATGGCACATCACATTGCTGCACATTTGTGATTCCCGGCTAGCTTCCTTGCAACCAAATTTGAATGCAGCCAATGCAGAAAAGGGCCAGAGAGAGGGGAAAGAACCCAAACCCAAAGCACAGTATGTCTTTCATTACAGAAAACAATTATCTAAAAATAAATCCTTTCTTTCTGTCTCTGCTTCCTAAGAAACAGCCCTGGGTGATCACGTTGCCTGCCAGACAGAGATTTACCCAGAGGACAAACACTCCAAACAGCTCTGCTGGGGAAGAGGGCACAATACACCATGTGAGGTGTGACAGGACCTACACAAGAAGGTGACATTATGAAGACAAGTCACACAAAACTCCTAAAATCTACAGCACCCAACTAGAATTTTTGCCGTTTTTGTCTTGGAAGTTTACAGACAACTGGACTATCAATTTCTAAAATTCCTTCCAGAAAAGGAAGAAAGAGTCAGAAATAAATTATTATTGAAACACATTCCTGAGCAAGTACAAATAAAGTCTTGTCCTGTATCTGCCCAAAACCCCTTAGTCCACACCTCTGACCTAAATAACACCCCGTGAAGATCAGGGGCCAAGTGCTAAATTGCAAATGTTTCTCATTGTGTTCATCCTCATCTGTCTCCTACACTCTCCTGCATCCTTAAGGGACAGGAATAAAGGGATTTTTTCCCTCTCTTCCTTTTAACACACATAGATACTTCTAGACAAATAATCAAACGTGGGAACAACTTTCAATGTTGTGTTGATCTCCTTTATGACACTCTGTTACTTATTGCTGTACTCACATCAGACTCCAATTCCTGACTTTTGGTTATATGGTTCATCTACAAGTAGAACGTGATTCTCAACTGCTGTAGAGGCTCAAAGAGCAATAAAGACTTCATTTGCAGTAAAGCTGATGAACTTTGGGAAACACCAGTCCACCAGCTGAAGCTCGTGAGCATGTCAGTATTACAACATCAGGTACTGTTTTCAACCCAAGATTTCACAAGTTTTCACTTACTTCAATAAGAATAAGCTTTTTATCACTTTCTGAGGACTCCCCAAGCATCTGAAGTTTGTTATACTTATTTGCTCTTAATAGAAAATCTTGAAAGAGAGCTGCTTGGGCCTGGCTCGGAAACATATGAAAATTGGAGTCTGAAAGAGAAAACTAATTAAAAATATGTATTCTATATTATACCAAGTAGAATAAAATACCCACAAGAACTAATGCCCACCCACGCTGTTTTCTGACAGCACCACTGAAGAAGCCCTTTGGCAAACAAATACAAGAGAATTTTTAAAAGGTGTAATTCAAGTGAGGACCCCAATAAAGACATTTACCTGGTTTTATTTAGTTGGTTCAAGTGATATCCATGCTATTACAGAGCTCTCTGTACTGATCTGAATTGTCAGTTATTTTGGAGTTAACACTTTAAAAAACCTAAATCCCTTTCCAGATAAAAGCAACAGAAAAATTTTTATTATACAGTAGGGAATGGATTTACACAGATGTAGATCTGATTTCATATGTGACAGACACAAAAGAAACAAAACCACAGCATATGAAAACCACAAAAGTAACTGGAACAGAAAAAATAAGAGAAAAAAACCAAAATACTTACCATGGTCAAACATGTTTCTTAACTCTTCCTTTGTAAAGTCTAAAGATACAGGATTGGTCCATTCTTGCACCTGAAGGCCAAGATCTTTGGCCAGAATTTGCAGAGTTGCAGTTTTTCCGCAGCCAGGGGGACCAGTCAGCAACAAAACAGAGCCACGCTGACACAGAGGGACAGAAATAATCCCAAATGTGACTGATAAATAATGACAGTTGGCTGGAAATGAACATTGGTTGAATTTCCCCTGTATTTTCTCTGGCAATGGTTCTCTTTCCCAATGAAACCCAAATCACATATTTTGTGTTGTTGATTTACCTGCTGAGTGTTCAGACAGAGAGAGCCAGGCCAGGACTCTGACAGTCCTGTTCTGTTTCCAAAGCCCCTGGTTAGCTGGGCAACACTGGCAATTTATGCCTGTGTACAAGAACAGCTCCCATCCACCCAAACTAAAAACGTCCTGGTACACCAACCCTGTGCAACTGGACATTTGCCAAGAGACCTAAAAATTAACCTGAGGTTTCAAGCACACTGAAGAGTTGTGATTTATGACTGGATGCCAGAAAATAATATTTCTGACCAAAATCAGAGTCCACCTCTTACCAGCACAGGCCCAAAACAAAAGTACAAGCTCTAACCTATGTTCTTAACAGACTTCTTACAATGACACACAATCACCACCTCTCAGCTGAGGTTTTTCTCTGAACTTAGAATTGCATCCAGCTCATTTGTATGGTTTGATACCTCTGGCTGTTCACTTTAGCATGTTTACCTGCTTTGGTTGCCTCTGAAATATGTGCATTTTTAACCAGGCCTCAACTTCTTCAATTTTCTTCTTTTGCACAGCAAGGTCATTCTGAAACAAGGTTAAAATATGTGAAATTCATATATTCACCTCTTGGTTTCTAAAGATGAGATTCAAGGATAAAATACATGCTGACTGAAATATTAACAGACATGCTGGTGTGTGTTCCAGTTACATTTACGCTCTACAGAGGCAAGTGCTACAGTTAAGGATGATCTGCTCAACCTGTTTCCTCTAACAACCTGTTTTCCATTGTTTGCAGTTGGGAAATAAGGAGCTGTTAATTATTCTCAAAGTAACAACACTACAGTCTTGCCTATTGGTGTCATCATGCTTCATAGCTACTGCTGGAGCTGGTACCTTTTGCTCCTTTTACTCTACTATTGCACAGGTTTTTGTAACCTTTGCAAATCCCAGACAGCTGGGTTTTCCCAGTGCTTGGAGCAGATGGATGTGGCTGGAATTCAGTAACAGGTTCAGAAGTTTAGATGTGGACAGGAAACAACATCTCATCAACAGCTTTGCCTCCTCAGGAGGCCTGAGGGAAATTGTCTCCTACAGCTAAAGAGCTCCTGGCAGTGAACAAACGAGACCAGCACCTTTTTGCTGTAGCAAAATAGGATATTCTGGGAGCCTGACCAACACAAATTATGGACAGAAGCACAGCATGTTACTATAATGTTACTACTATGTTAGAACTCAGAGTAAGTCCCACCTGAGTCTCAGGTTTGTATCTCTCCACCCACGGCAGCTCATCCTGGGACGGGCTCCAGCTCTGCCTGGACTTCCTACAGGGCAGATCCACCACAGAGGGCTTTGCCCTTTTCCTGGAAGGAGCCCTGGCTTTGCTGTTTTCTGGCACAGAACTTGGGTCCTTCAGCTGCTGCCTCCGGCCTCTCCCAGAGCTGCCTCTCAGGGCCTTCACAGCGACACTGGTGCTTCCAAAGGAGCCATCGAAGGGGTGCCCCAGCCAGTCTGCCACCTGCAGAACACAAACACTGTGCCACTGAAGCAGCACCTCCTCCCCTTATCTGGCCACAGCTGTCCCTAGAAAATGCAGCTTTTTATCCAGTGTACACTTGTCCATCCCTGGAAGTGTCCAAGGCCAGCTTGGACAGGGCTTGGAGCAACCTGGGACAGTGGAAGGTGTCCCTACCCATGGCAGGGGGTGGGACTGGATGGGCTTTAAGGCCCTTCAAACCCAAACCATTCTGGGATTCTGAGATTCTTCAGTATTAAAATAAAGCCTCCTCTCACATGTTGTGCTAAGAGTATCTTGCAGCAAATTGTCAAGTCAGAACAAGTAGAAAACTCCACAAACACACATCCAAACTAAAGAAGTAAAATTAAATCAGAGATAAGAATGAAGAAGAAGTATCAGCTTACTCAGACTGTGTTTACATTAAGGTCATGTTCACATTGTTTCTGTGCAGTTTTCAGTATGTGGCACTTTTTCCCCCTCTTCTTTAACACTTACAGTGCAGGCATTTGTGATTCAAAAATGGAAGCAGATGGTAGAGAACAGCTATTGAGGCAGCACAATAAAATCAGATATTGTTCCCTGTTTGCTGCATGGGGCAGCTTGGGCTGAGTTGTGACTGCACCAGAGCCTGTGACAGCAACGCAGAACCATTCAGCACTGAATTTTGGGTTTGAGGAGCTCCCAGCTGGAATAGGGGTGCAAACTTACGCTCCAAAGCACTTCTCAAAGGCCCCAAATACCATCACAGGGGTCACTGGCAGCCCCTCAGTGCAGGGCTGAGACAGGCTGGATGGCAACAGAGCCCCCAGTGAAAATGTGAGTGACAGAACAGACACAATGTTCCTGAAAAGGGCCAGGAAACCACAGTTTACACATCTCATCGACCAACACAGCAGAGTGTCCGAGAACCACGGGTGCCAGGATGCTCTGCCTGGAATGGAGTAAAACAACTACAACAAGGCCCTGTTTGCAAAGTCCCCAGTGGGGAATGAAGAAGGGGGGTCACACTGCTTTTGGGTTGAACAAAGCTGAAACCAGCCTGACTCATCAATCCCAAAGGGAAACATCCTGAGATGGAGGGGAAGATGTGGCAGAGCTGGGAAAATCCCCAGAGAAAGCAACAAACAAGTGACGCCACTGAGAACTGCTCCAAAGCTGCTGAGCTGCACAGCCTGGACACACCTGACTGACAGTCCAGCACTGCATACTAGAAAAGCCCAGGCCCAAATTTTAAGGGCGGGATCTTGTGACACATGCCTTCTTGTGGGTATGTAGATTCCTCCCCAGAGTGGGGACGCACTTCAAGGTCACTCCTCCAGGCTGAGCCAAAGAGATTTGGTCATTGGTCTTGGTGAGTGACATAATCTCTAATTAATAATCGGTTTTGTATTAATACAATTGCTTAAATATTCAGAATCACAGAATCATTAAGGTTGGAAAAGAGGTCTGAGATCATCGAGTCCACCCTTAGCTTCATGCTCACATTTCAACTCTTTATACATTCACATTCCAACTATTGCTTCCAAGTGCACAGTTATTACAGGTCCTATACTGTGTAGTGAATAATTGTGATCAAGATCTCTTTGTCCAATCATACTTATACCAATATATTTGATAATGGTTTGCTGCCCTCAATCCCGCGGGACTGAGTTGTACAGTGACACTTGTACAACACTTAAACTTGAACCACTGACCGGGTCTGAGCCTGGGACTGGATCCAGCCGCCCCCAGGCTGCTCTGGGAGAAGGGGTTTGGGAAGCCGGGGGTCTTGGGGCGGTTTGGGGGTCTCTTGGGGGTGTTGGGGGTCCTTTCTGCACCTCGCGACTCCACGGGAGCTTCTCTGGTGAACTCTGTCTGAAGCTCCCGCCGTGCCTGTGACCCTCAGCACCCGGGAAACAGCGTCTGCTGGGGCTGCAAGAGGCCGTTATTCACACAAAAACCGTTTTTGGTGGAATTTGCATATTTACCCGCGACGCCCCGTGCGAGCAGGGGTCCCTTCCACACACACACAGACACCGAACGTTACTCTCGGCACAAAATAACCCCGTGGCAAAGGAGAACCGCAAACGCCGAGCCCGGGCAGGAACCGCCTGAGCGAGAGCCCCGACCCGGACCCACCTCCGCCGGCCTTCCTGGGGCGCTGCCGGCCATCCTGGGCCGGGGGGCACCGGGGGGCGCCGGGGGAGCACCTCCCCCCTGCCGGGCGGCGGCACTCGCGGGGTCTCGGTGCCCTCGGACTCTGGGGATGTCTCGGTGCCCCGGGTGGTTTCTCGGTGTCCAGGGAGGGTTTCTCGGTGCCCCGGGGGGGTCTCTCGGTGTTCTCCGGTGTGTCCGTTCCGTTCCGTCCCGTCCCCACGGTGCCGTCACCCCTTGGCGGTCCTTCCCCTCCGGCCGTCGCCGGGCTGCCCGCGTCGCGCCTGCCCGCGTGGTGACGCCATCGGCGCGCGCCGGCGGCGGCGGAGGCCCCGCGCACGTGTCTCCAGGGCGACGGCGGCGCCATGAGGCGGCCGAACGTGCTGATCACCGGTGGGCACGGGGGGCTCGGCCCAGTCCTAGTCTGGGCTGATCTGGGGTGTGAGACCGCAGCCTCATCAGAGCCTAGAGTCACTGGGGGCGGCGATCCCATCCCGGGTAGTTTGGGGTCTAGGGTCCCATCCCGGGGTGGTTTGGGGTTTGGGGTTGCAGTCGGGGTGATTTGGGGTGTGGGGTCCTGGCCTGGGAGGATTTGGGGTGTCACACCTACCCGAGAACTCGGGACGCTCCCATCCCGTCCCGAGGTTTTCTTTGCTCCCCACCCCCCCCCCCCGGTGTGGGTGACGTTCCTGCTCACGGTGAGGGTTCTCTCCCTGGTTTCCCGTTTCCCACTCCAGCGTTGCCCTCCCTGGTTCTCTTTGGGGTGCAGCTCTGGGCCCTTTTCCCTCACGCGAATCCCTCGATGTCCACTGGCCAAAGGCCCCAGTTCCCCTGCTGGGAGGGTGTCTGGGGGGACCTGCACCTCCTCCCTCACCCTGTCCTGTGGTTTTGGTCTCCAGGCACTCCGGGCGTTGGGAAAACCACGCTGGGAAAGGAACTGGCATCCAGAGCAGGGCTGAGCTACATCAACGTGGGGGACCTGGCCAAGGAAGGTGCTGGAAAACAGAGGAGTCACCAGAGCACAGGGGATTCTTTGCTCTGTGCAGCTCTCTGCTTGTGGTGGGAGAGCTGGGGTTGTGCTGCCTGGAGAAGAGAAGGCTCTAGGAACAACTCAGAGCCCCTTCTAGGGCCTAAAGGGGCTCCAAAAATGCTGGAGAGGGATGTAGGGCAAGGGATGGTATGAAGGTTAAAGAAAAATAGCTTCCCGCTCCCAGACAGTGTTCCCTGTGAGGGTGGGGAGGCCCTGGCACAGGTTGCCCAGAGAAGGTGTGGCTGCCCCTGGATCCTGGAAGTGTCCAAGGACAGGTTGGATGGGGCTTGGAGCAACCTGGGCTAGTGGAAAGTGTCCCTGTCCATGGCAGGGGGGAGGAACGAGATGAGCTTTGAGGTCCCTCCCAACCCAAACCATTCTGGGATTCTATATATTAAATCAAAAGGCAATTAATTTTCTCTAACAGGACCCTTGGTCGTCAGTAGTAAATGACAAACTTACCCTTACACAGATTTGTAAACCAAGTGTTCCCTCCGCTGAGCTCTGCCTTTGTTTGCATCCTCCTGCAATGAACATACCCATGTAGACAGTTGTGGTGGCTCTGCCCCCCCAAACTGCCCTGACCCATTTGTGCTGCAGGGGAACTGTACGAGGGCTTTGACGAGGAGTACGACTGCCCCATTCTGGACGAGGACAGGGTGAGTGCAGCCCCTAAACCACCCACGTGTCTGGGCCTTCTGCAGTGCCAGGGGAGCCTGCCTGTGTCCCTTTGCCCTGCAGGTGATCGACGAGCTGGAGGACAGGATGAGGGAGGGTGGGGTGGTGGTGGATTACCACGGCTGCGACTTCTTCCCCGAGCGCTGGTTCCACATCGTGTTCGTGCTCCGCACAGACAACTCCTTCCTCTACGACAGGCTGGAGAGCAGGTGTGCCAGGGGGCAGACCAGGGCAAGGGGGGGGGGGTTTGAGGGTGTCAGTCACAGAATCTCCACTGCTTCTGCACATCTCACACTCTCCCTTGGTGCTCTTGTTTTCTAGGGGCTACACAGGGAAAAAGCTGCAAGACAACATTCAGTGTGAGATTTTTCAGACTCTTTATGAAGAAGCTATGGAGTCATACAAAAAGGAAATTGTGCACCAGTTACCCAGCAACACTCCGGAGGACCTGGAGAGAAACTTGGATCAGATTATGCAATGGATTGAGCAGTGGATGAAGGACAACAACTGATTCAGGGTGGAACAGTGACTGCTGAATCTCTTCCTGGGAGGGTTCAATAAATGACATTCATTTTGTATCAGTTAATGTGAATTTTACTGTAACTGGATATGGTTGGGGAGTAGAAGGTTTAGAACAGCCAAGTTTGTGAATGTTTGGAACAGCCTCTGAAGCACCCTGGGAGAGACACGCAGGAGAACCCACACAAGTGAATGGAAGGATGGAAACAGCACCAAATTTCTCAGTAGAGGAGCTGTGTTCAATAATTGAGAACTCTTTGGGCCTCACAATTAAAACCAAACCATGAACTCACCCCAGAAAAACTGTAAAATACTGATAACTGGTGGCACTTTGGATTTCTAGAGGGTGCAACAGTGTCCTGAAAAGGGGTTAATCTGAAGCTGAGTTGTGAGACTGGAAACTGCTGTGCCCCACTGTGTCCTTGGGTGTGAGGCTAATGCAGACGAGGGGTTGGTTCAAGTTAAGGAAGGAAGTGACACGGTAACAGTTATTTTAAAATTCACAGAACTTTGGGAATTCCTTCATGGGTAAGGACACATGGGCTGTATCTGCACTGGTGTGGAATGCTGAACAATAAAGAGCAATAAGCTTTCTTTTCCCTTTTTCTCTCTGAACTCCCAATCACCTATACCAGTAGTGGAACACAGATCACTGCAGGTTTACCCTGGAAATACATCCCTGGGCAGGAAAACCTGTGGAGCCCCAGAACGTGGCTACAATTAAAACACTGGCAGCCATCTGTTCTAATTGCTTGTACACCCTGGACCCCAGCAGGGCAGGGCAGATAAAAACCTTCCTTCACTGAAAAGCCTGCTGTAGGAAGTGCTTGCTAATAAACTCTCAATATACATGATATAGTAAAACCACTTTCTTAAAGATTTCTGTTGTAAAGAGTATTATTGTTAGGTATTTAAGATTATTGCAGATTGGGTATAGGGTTTTTGGGTGGGACTCAGAGGAATACTGCATCAGTAACTTGATATTATAAACCAAAATGATGATAAATCTGGAGTTTCCTGGCACAACCGAGAAAAAGCACTGAGGAAACACAGGCAGAGGTGCTTTGATCTTGGACGGCACTAGGGAGCACGGGGAGGGCGGTCTGTGGGGTGGAGAGGACAGCCCCAATTCTTGGGAGCGCCTGGAGTGACCACGTCAGGTCACCTCAGGTCGCGTTTCCGAGAGCTGCCTGACACCTCTCGGGGCTGCGCCGGGGCGGGGGCTGCAGGGGAAACAGGGACCTCTTTTAAAAGGTAAGAATAACCAACCCCACCTTCCGCCGAGCTCCGGATGCCGCTCCCGGTGCCGCTCCGTCCATCCCGCCCCGGGGCGGGACCAGTATCGCCCTGTGCCGGTGGTGCGCAGGTGGGTGCGGGGGGGATCATGGGGTGCTCTGGGACGGGAGCGGGGCCCGGGAGGTCCAGGGGAGTCTCAGCGAGGCGCTGCCCCCGCTGCCGCCCCGGCTCCCACCGAGGGGTGGGAGCGATGTTTTTGGCAGCCCCGACCCGCCGGGGGAGCGGCCGCGCACCGACGGCTCCGTGTGTCTCACTGCAGCGTTGTCCTGCTGCTTTAAATAAGCGCTTTTCCTTTTCTTCTAGATAAAACAGTCGCTTTCAGGAGGTGCTGTTGGCATTGGCCGTGGTGAAGGGCCCTCGGTCAGGAAAGGAAAAAAAAAAAGAAACAAAAACCAAACGGAAAACCAGGAGGAGAAGATGGAGGGAGAGGAGGATGACATGACATGTGGAGACTTGGGAAACGGCCTTGGGAGAAGACCTGGAGGTGTTTATGTAGGGGAAAACTTACAAAATCCCTATTCAATTAGATCCAGGAAAGGATCTGGAAAGCCTTGTAATTCCCTCTTGTCAGCAAAGGGAGCGGAAGAAAGTGATGCTGCAGCTCTTCCTGGTCCAAAACGAAACAGTTTTTACGATGGATCACTTAGAAAACCTGCTGCAAGTTCCACACGGCAGAACAGCTGTGGTAAGAGTAATTGGGAAGTTAATTATTCACCGGGGAAAAACCTCTGTTAGATAAACTGAGCCGTTCAGCTGATTCACATATTGTCATCAAGTTTAATTTGAACCATTTGCCGAAGTCCGTGAAGGATTCTAGTAAGTGTCTGTGCATCCTGTGCCTGCTGGGAACCTTCACCTTCCCCCCGGGACATTAACGGCACAGTTGCTTTTGAGAGATCGAGGCTCTGGCCCTTCTTAATGTAAAACGCCCGGTTTTAAAGTGTTTGTTTTTGCTTTTTAAAGTGACATTTAGCAAAGAGCGTCCTGTGGTGGCTGTCTCTCTACATACATACATAAAATTGAATGGAATTGCTTGGATTCCTGCTTTGTTTAAGTAACTTTAAGTCTTCTCAGGTATCCTGTCTAGAGCTTGTGGCTAAATATTTAAAAATCTCATTTGCTATTTAGTTGAAATTTGTGATTTGGCTTCCTTTTGGGCTAAAAAGTTCTTTTCAGAACCTATGTTGGCATTCATCTTTTTCTTTGTGAAGGAAACGCTGCTGTAAATACCATCAGGTGTAGGCAGTGCTGTTCATTACACTTCAGCTGCTTTCCTTTACATTTTTAGTGTTTTGACTGAGGTATTTCTGCATCATTTGCTTATTTCTCTCCTTCAGAACAATTCCCCACTATCCCAATGCCACAATAAACTGAGCTGTCTTAAAACTGCCCTTACTTCTACATAGTGCCAGCCACTGTTGTGTTGACTGTGGTTGTTGAAAAGTTACAATCTTAAAACAATCTAAAAAATTAAATTCTTTTTTAAATCAAGAGGGATTTTTCAATTTTTTTCCAAAGGAAAGTATAAAATATTTGTCCTTATTTTCTGTCTTCACAACTGTCATTTTTCCTGTATTTCACTTCTTTAACTGTGAGCACTGTGTTTGAAATTAATATTTATGTATTTCTTAAATCTGTTTATTAGCTCCAGAAAAAAGGTAAAACAAACCACAAAGATGAAAATTCACCTCTGCATTTTACTTGTGTTCAGGTTAAAGCAAATTCTCGTTTTTTTTCTTTAGATATTATAGTATCTCATCATTCAGTATCTCCTGTTAATCCTACAGAATCTAATACTGAAATGTCAAATGAAGAACTAAAGCAACGACTTCAGGAAGCTCTAGAGGTTGGTAATGGTGCCAAGGGTGCTGCTCCCCAAATCTGCATTTCCTTTTAATGTAGCAAGAGGATCTTGGCATGGCTAGAGCATGGATCTTGGCATGGATCCAGGTTCTTGAAATTAGAGGGGTACTTGGAATCTTCATTAAATTTTACAGCAGGAAATCACAGTGTGAGGTGCTGTTTGTACTCTGGGGGTTTGTTGGGGGTTTTGGGGGGTTTTTTGAGGGGTGGGGAAGGTATTTTGAGGGAACTAGAGAATATTGAAAGTAATATACTTCTTTAGTAGGTGTTATTTTTTGTTAAGCTTTGGGGCCTGAATATCTGCAATGTAAGCAATCTTTGGCTTTTTAGTCTGCATTTTTGTTGAGAGGTGGTTAACCCCTACATTTTGGGGTTCCAAATGTGGTTAAATGTGTTGGTGTGTTGGCATCACAGCCAGCTGACCTCAGCTGTGAAAATACACAGTTTATCTGCTCTGTGTTCTCTAACCTCAGGGGAGCCCCTGAAAAGAAGTCAAGGAGGTAAAACAGAAGAGGGCAAATTCACTTTGCTGCTACAGTCGAATCTTAGCAGGATTACCTTGGCCTGTACTCAGTGTCCCTATTCTGTTTTGCTTCAGGAAGTTGAAATTTTGAAAGTTGAGCTTGAAGCGTGTCAAAGGCAGCTTGAAGGAAAAGATGAAGCCCTGAGAATCCTGCAGAGCATGGTAGGAGTTGTTCAGAAACCGTTGGGTAGGTGGTGGTGATGGAAGGAAAAGGGAAAACCCTTCCTGCTGCTCCTCATCCAAACCTTACAAACCAGAATTTCCCAGCGCTGCAGTTCAAAGCACTGAGTCTGGAGGTGTCTGCAGACGTGACTGCTGCAATGTGCTGCTTTTTCTCCACAGATCTGATGTGGTTATGGAAGAAAACTTTACTGTTGTAGCACTTCTCACAGTTTTATCTCTGAGGATCCTTCAGGATTTATCTGTTTAACATAAAAATAAGGCCATTTTTCCAGTCCCTTATGTGATAGATTTTGCCAGGGCTAGAAATCCTGCTGCAAGTCAAAGGTGTTTTAGTTACTTCTCCATCTGTTGTCCTAGAGGACAGTGTGGGTTAGATGTCAGGTCATTCTTTTGCTCACAGTCTACAATAGTTCTGTTGGTCACTGTCACAATGAACTCTGGTGAAATCAGTTCCTGCTTTTCTGCCTCCTTGCATAACCCATTTATAGCTGAGCAGTTTCTGCCCTCAGACATTTGCAGCCAGTTACACTTGGATCAACGGCTTAACCGTGTTGTAACCAAGTGTTCAAAGATGGGATTTTCTGGACAACCTGTGAAGAACAACGTGATCTCATCTTAAATTATGCTGCATTTTTCAATAGGAGAGATTGGAACACAAGTTTGTTGTGCAATTTAGTGACTTGGAATCAGAGCCCACTAGGGCTTACAAGCAAGTTGTAACGTTTGTCATTCTGCACGCTCCTGTTTAACAAAGGAATTGAACTTCTCTGTGTGTAGGACTGAACATGTGTCTAAAGCCAAATTAAGTGAACTTAATGATAGTGTTTGACAGAATTGTGGTTTTTTTTCTCTCTTTTTTTTTTTAGGCAGTATTTAATAAAGCCACTAGTCATACAAAAGAAATGCTTCAAAAAACTGAGGAAGAAAAGAGGACTTTAGAGAAGGTAAGGGTGTGTATCCTTTACACATGGAAGCCCATGGCTATTAATGAGGGATTAACAGACTGTTCATTTAAATCAGTGCAAACCTGCCATTAATTCCAGAGCTTTTAGGAAAGCGTTCTTATTCCTATTTAGTGGAATGGGGAAATGTTAATGTGTTGCTGCTTTGGTCTGGATCTTCATATTCCTTAGAGTGTGCAAATAATACCTAAAAATTACCAGAGTTCTTCCTTTACTTTCAGTTGGTGTTTGTTGTGGGTTTTGGTCATTCACAGTGAGTTGCTCAGTTCTTCAGGGATGAAGCTGAAAATTCCCAAGGGGTCTAGGAAACATGTGCCAAGTTTTCATAGGGAAGATGGGGAGGAGGAGGAAGGTGGCATGGAGCTGCTGTGTCAAACTGAGTTTTGTCCTTTGTTCCTCCTCCTGTATGGCCTTTCCACAGATCAGAAGGGTGACAGGGAAATGTGACAGTGTGGGTTTGGTTTTGTTACAGCCCACTGGAAGCATTAACACAGTCCTCCTGTCACACAGTCTGGGATCCATAGGTCACTTCAGTGTCTGGCACCAATTTTGTTATTAACAAATAATCCTCACTGGTCACTGAGATTTATTCCTTTCTTTGGGAAGCCTGTAATGTGCTGCTGCAAGTTTGTTTCTTTCCACAGGAAATAAATATTTTGCAGTGGGAAATTGAATTTGATCAGGATAGATTTAAAAATATAGAAGACACGTGGACAGAAAAATACGACAGGTATTTTACTTCCACTGTGTATATATTTGTTTTCATTTTTAA